CATCCAGCTAGACAAGTCTCTATATCTATTCAATATGTTGAAATCATATAGAGCAAAGGTTCCTCAGGGTGAGCCTCATGGGGTTGGGACCTTTGTCCTCTGGAGAAAATGAGCAGATACTCAGAGCTATGAGCTGTCACAACAGGATGGATGCTCTCCATGGCTCATCACAGGATGGATGCTGAGCAGATCACCTGACCTCATGAAGAAAAGAAACTGAGAGACCAGACAGTTCACCAAGAGGTGAGATTAGTGATCTCCATCTTCAGGTGTGTCAGGAAACTTCCTGGTAGGCAGCTGGGGAGAGAGCTGGAGAAAAGCCCCTCACACAACGTATCTGTATAAAGAGAGCTATGCACTGAAAGTCACTGGGAAACACATTTTGGTCCTTTGAACCTCAGTCAAAAGTGTAATATATGTCCTCCTGATGGCTGTTGCTCATGGCAACATGGCTGTGTGTTTGCTGCTGTTGTGACAAAGCCTGCTTCTGAAGACCATGAATAGGAAGCAATAAGAGACATATTTGTAGAAAATCTAGATTCCAATAACGTTTTCTTTTTACCTACCCTATAGCACTTACCATTCATCTTGGCACTCAGTATCTCTTTTAATCCATTGTTCTGTAGTTTGCTGAACAATTGCACCCATGAACATGCTGTGGCACTGTGTTAGCTGCTGTATCTCCGCTGCTGGCTGGAAGAGTGAAGAAAGAGCAGTTCAGAAGAAGCTGACCTGGCTCTCAGAGCTAATGCTGTGATGAATACAAGCATCTCACACATTTCACACACCGCCAACAGCAGGCATGGTGCTCTGGCCTAGAGGAAGCCAAGCACAAACAAGTAGTGCTGAAGGCCAACACATATAAGAGCATGGTCTAAAGTACACACCACAAAACACCCACTAATTCAGTTAATATGAGTGATTGCCACCCAGTAGCATTTAAAACGTTAGCTGCCTCATTCACCTCGCAAATAATGATGAAAAATTTTTAAATATTGACGAATTATAAAGTAATGAAGAAGATTTAAATGCTTTCTGGTTGAAAAAGATTGCCAATTGCATTTTTAAGTAGCATGTGCTTCTTGACAGCATCCAGTCCTTCAAAACTTCAGCTCCCCAAATCATATAACTCAAGCTCAACTAGTGAAACAGTCATTTCTCTCTTCTAAAAGGGTTTGTTTCATGTGTGTAAAAGTTTGGCCTGCTTGTACGCATGAGCACCACTTCATACCTGGTGCCCCTGGAGGTAAGAGAATCCGCTGGACTGGAGATGTTTGTGAGCCTCCATGTGAGCACTGAGAAACAGTGCTAGGTCCTCCCAAGAGTACCAATTGCTCTGAACTACCGAGCCATTTCCAAAGTCCTCCAACAATCATGTCTTGATGTCCCCAGAGAGACTAGTCTCTCTACCATGACAACAAGCCAATTAACATGACTTTTTTCTCCTACCTGAGATTCCTGGGGCTATTGGGGTGGAGATGGTCACTATAAGTCTATGAATGAAAATTATGGAATGATTATTTAAGCAGAAGAGATTTAATTGAGGAAAATCATGTGGAAAGGGGAGGGGATGCAGGAAAACTATTGAATATTTCTGGGCAAGAGACAGGTGATACTTGTAACACAGGCTAGCCACAAGGTAAGGGACACCATAGACCTTTAAGAAGGTCTAAAACTCTGGAACTTGTAAAGGGAGTCACTTTCAGTAGACTATATTCTTGTCCATCTCATATTCTCTTGGCCGCCACAAGGAGCATAACCTGGTAAAGTGATTTTTTAAAAAAAATATATTGTGTCCCTCTTCAGCTTCACTACAGACTATGAGAAAGCAGCTTTAGTGAGTGCATTAGTTACTTTTCTGTTGCAGTACCAAAACACCACAGAGAGAGTTTATTTTTGCTTACTGTTCCAGAGGAATAAGAGGTCACAAAGGCAGAGCAGGCAGTCATGGCGGCAGGAGCAGAAAGTATAACCCTAACATTTTCAAAGGAAAGAGCAAAGAACAGAGAGAAAATTAGTAGACCACAGTTTTTATTCTCAAAGTCCACTCCCAGTGATGTACATATTCTAGCAAGCTGGCACCACCTAAGCATTCCCAAACACCAACAACAACTGGACCAAGTGTTCAAATGCCTGAGAACATGACATACACACTTCTCATTCAAACCACTGCAATGGATGATAAATAATATCGTCTACATTACAAACTGATAGAATGGTAAACTATTAGAAGGAAAAGGACATTCCAGCTTTTTAATAATCTAAACTTTGAAAACATCCTTGGTGCAAGAAATACCTGAAGTCAGAAGAAAATCAGAAAGAAAGGCCACTCTGGCCTTCCACCATTCCAGTAATGCCACATTCATTGGCTATGTCAAAAGGAAGCATGGAATCCCCACATTTTAAATGGAATAAAGTATGTCATTATAAGGGATTTTGTTTTTAAAAACACAGAAACTAAAATATGCAGAGAGCAAGCATATATTCACTCTAAATATATTTCAATTAAAAATTATCACTTAAATTCATGCACCTGGAAATTATTATGTTAAGTGAGGTATAGTCCCAGAAAGACAAATGTCATGTTTTCTCTCTTTAGTAGATCTTAGATTTTACATGTGTACATAAGCTGTGTATGTGGTATGAAAGTAGAAGCAAGTAAGTACAGGAAACAAAACAAACTAAAGGAAGAGAAAAAGGAAAGAAAAAGAGAGGGAAGAAATATGAGGTAAAATATGCTCATTACATCATATACCTATACAAAAGTATCCCTAAAATTCTGTATACAGTGAATAAACCCCAATTTTAAAACCATCATTTAGTTTAAGTAAAACCAGTGTTCTTCTATAATTATGATGGTAATATGGTAAACAAAAAGAAAATAGCTATGGTGGTAGATAAATTCAAAGACGAATTCATCTCTAATAGCATAAGAGTCAGTAAAACAGAGAAAGAACTCAAATATCACAACAATCATCTTACACAGACAGGCAGCACCCATTACTGCCTCTCATACAATGCAAGCCTCCATTGTCATCAGATTACCAATGCCTGCCTATAAAAAAGGACCACCTGTTGATCACTGATGTTCCTTCAGAGAAAGGATGGAGTGGGAATCACCTTCATCTGAAGTTTCAGGTGCTCCTGGCAACAATGGCTGTGCATTTCTGCCCTAACTACACAGGACTCAGGAGTCTTGGGAGGTGCAAACTTCTAGGTTGGGGTGGCTAACTAGGAGGAGCTCCATCTAGGTGGATTTGAAGAAGACATCATACATTTGGGGCAAAGACTTTTCAGTGCAGTTGTCTTTCATACTCCTGTAAGAAACTCCTCACCCAGGCTTTATAATTAAGCCCCGTCAACTCATTGGTCCAGCATGTTGCATGCTAATGGAATCATACTCCACGCTATTGTTTGGAACTTACAAGGAAAGTGTAGATGCTTATTTTTTTTTCTTGCCAGAGAAAGAAATTATCAAAACACTGCCTAATCCACTGCAATGTACTAAACAAATTTTTTTTCTGTTAAAAGCAATCACATAAACTTTAGAAGTTATCAGGATAATTTCATTGGTGTATGCGCACAGTACCCCCATAGCATCAACTTACTTATTAGTAGCAAATTAAAAAGTAATTACCACTCATCAATCATTTTCAATATTTCATTCTTCAAAATCATTCTATCTTCTTATTCTCAATACCAAATAATCCTCAGATAGGTAAATATGGACAAACTCCTTGACCACATTACATTGGGGTATTGTCATCAATAGTGTAGGGCCTTCACAACTTTGCCCATCATCTCTATCCAACCTGAATATTCTGCCTCACACAGGGCCTGGAGACCCACCCTCTGTCCATTAGCTAATACACCCCTTTCCAAGGGCTGAGTGGTCTGAGGACTCAACATCCTTAGGAATCAGAAGCCAATCACATCTTCATATCATTCATACATGTTTTTGGAGACATTTGCATCACACACAAATACTCAAACAGTACCCATACATATATATTTACTTCTATGTCTCTGCAGTTACGTTTGCAATGGTCAAGAGCAGGAAATGCATTTTTTTGTATTTCTAAATTCATATTGCCCAGCAAAAGTTCAAGGGACAGACCAGTTAAAGCATGAGCTGAATAAATGGAAGAAGAAATGGCAGGTCTCTGGCACACCAGGGAAGCAATGACAGCGTTTGCTTAATTCCCGCTTGTCAGAAATCTTGGAAATATGAGGAAGACACTGGGAGTGTGGGGTGCTGTCAGCTCCTGTGCTTGTGAAATCAGCAACATGCTTGGGCTGTGTATCACAAGCTTACCAAGTATAAAAGGGCTGCTGCCCTGGACCATTCACCAACAGACTCTTGAGCACAGCTTTCTCTTCCAGCCTTTGCAGTAACTGGTGAGTACCTAAGTAGGGACAGGGCCTCATCTGGGAGTGTAGAGATGAGAAGCCTAGCTTGAGTGGGGAGAAAGAAGCAGAGGAGTCTAATGTGGAGGCTGCAGGATGAGGACCTTCTAGGTACTGGGGACAGGGAGAAGAACACAGAACAGGAGACTCTTAGGGTGCTCCAGAGTTCTGGCTCTCAGTGTTACCTCCACTCTCCTGAGCGGTCTGCATCAGCTCAGAGAATGCTACAAGAGCCATTTTTTCATTACAGATATTTGCTTCAGTTGAGCAAAAAGCTGCTTAGAAGTATCAACATCTCCTGTAAGCAGGTCATTTTCAAGACAATGTCTTGAAGGTTATGGAGATCAGATACCCTTTGCCTTTGTAAAGATCATTATTCTGAATGTTTTACTAGAAATGCACACTGATCTATCTTGAGAATGCTTTCTACAGATGGATGTGCCCTTCCACGCTCTTGTTTATGTCATAGAGACCTTGGTTTAGAAAGCAGAGAGGTCATGGAAGGAATGTGTTTGACAGACTAGCTCAGTAGATGTTCACTGGAAATTCTACAATGTTTCTATGCTACTCTTCTAGGTCAAATCCCTGCCGAGATGTCCTGCCAGCAGAACCAGAAGCAGTGTCAGCCTCCTCCCAAATGCCCCTCTCCCAAGTGCCCCCAGAAGAGCACAGCACAGTGTCTGCCTGCAGCCTCCTCCTGCTGTGCTGCAAGCTCTGGGGGCTGCAGTGTCCCCAGCTCTGAGGGAGGCTGCTGCCTGAGCCACCACAGGCGCAGGTCCCACAGATGCAGGCGCAGGAGCTCCAGTTCCTGTGACCGAGGCAGTGGTCAGCAGTCTGGGGGCTCAGGATGTGGCCACAGCTCCGGGAGCTGCTGCTGACCTTGGAAAGTATAGTCTGGAAAAGAAACACTATCAAAAATGAATCTAAGCTCCTTCCCCAATGTTCAGTCCTCATTCCCAGTTTCCCTGTCCCCCCTAAGTGCTGAGATGTTTCCCAAGAGGGCTCAGGTCTCTCCTGGCTCTTTCTGTTCTCTGTATGTTCACAGCGCATGTACCCTGTTATCTTGAGAGCTTGTGATAACTGCCTGGGTGGTTATCATCCTGTACTTGACCCTGGGAAAGTAAAGAACTTATTTCTCAACACCACTGTGTCTCTCATGTCTAGCTCTGTGCGGGTCTCCTCTCCTCTGCTCCTCTATCCAGCACTATCTAGCCTGTGGAATAGATGCTGCCTCCAGAGAGGAACAGCACTGGGGGAGGGGCTGTGTATAAGGAAGCCATGGGCCAGTGGCTTTGATTCCATGTTGATAGGAGACCTGACCTCCCTGTACTATGTGCTGAGAGTTCTCTGACTGGTCGCCAAATTCTGTTAGAAGGTAAAGCCTAATATTAGAATAGATGTCCCTTGATCCCCAACAAAGAAACAGGGAATGGGAGTCAAAGGAAGCAAAAATTAGCAGGCAGGTAGTATGAGTAAGAGAGTAAAGGAAAGCAGCACTATGGCTGTGTTCATGTCTGTAAACCTCACAGCAGCCCTCTGGCAATAAGCTATTTAGCTTCTCTGCTGTGTAATAAGCATCCATGTAGCTTTAATAGGCACAAACCACAACACTAAGCAAAACCTTACATCTAGTTATGTTACATTTGATGATGGTCAGTACATCTGGCACAGGACTGTTTCCAACAGCAGCCAGAACAGCTTAGCATTGCACAGGATCACACTGCTAATGGGCGACGGATTTTTTCACCCCCTTTCCACATACCTCTACACATGTCTTCATGTTGAAAAAAAAAGTGTCCTTAGCCAAATCTTGGAAGTACATAGTTTATTTTATGTTACATTTTAGTTTTTAAAAAGTGGAGGCCATTTCTACAGATTTTCATGAGTTTACTTAGGTAAGTAAAACCATGCCTGACAAGAGTAATGTTCTCTTTCTCAAATGCTAGCATATATGTACATAGATGACAAATGTATGGTGTATAGCATACATGCTTCAAAACGTCTTTACTGCAATTTTTGGTATACTGTATTTCAGGAAGAAATAGACCCTTAATGTTGCAATAAACTAGAATGAAGAAATATATAGCTCACATACTCCCACTTTCTTTTGTCATTTTAAATATTTTTCTGACAGGACAGTTGAGAAAATTTCAAAGATAAAATACTAAATGATACACTTACGATTATGATGATGGCGATATAATTAACAAGTTGGTGCCAACTTTATTTTCCCACCTGGCTTTGTCAAGAACGGTCACTGCATTTAAGCAGCCTGGAAGCACTTGGATGCTGTGAGAGCAGCAGTGTCATGGTCTTGTGGCAAGGTGACATCACTGATTGATAGTCAATTGTTGTGGGATACTAATATTTACTATTGTTTTATCTTTTAGTTAAGCAGTGGTTATTCCTAAAGATCTGTATAACCAAATCACCACACAGATACAAGGATTTATTTAATTAACCTAGAGCACAGTGCTGGGCAATAGTTACTGCATCCTAAACCTCCAAACCTGCATAGTGTCTTATCATTCAGAATCACCCATTATACTTGATTTTAATCACATCTTAAGTCTGGTTCATTTCTCCACGTGATTCCCAGACCTCTCCTGTGGATTCTCTGCTTTTCTCTTCCTCCCAGCCCTTCCTTCTCCTCCCCTCTCGTTACCAGGATGTTCCACCCTCTCATCTCCATTGTTCAACACTGGGGCTGGTTGTTTAATTGACAACATAGAGAACAAATGGTGGCATGTTTACACACACTTGAGACAAGTGATGCTTAGAATAACCATCACAATGCAATGTCCAGATTGAAATCAGATATTGGGACAGAAAATCAACATTTGAATGAACAAAGGTACATTCCACAAGAATATTATACCAACAGTCAATAGATAGAATGGGAGCAGTAGTAACTCCACTGGCTGACAGAGCCAAGCATCTCTCTGAACCGGTCAGCAATGTCCAAGTACTCAATGGTATTGTCAGAAAGAATATGTTACTGTGGAGTGCCTTAGAAACACTGATGCCATTCTTCATGATACCATTGAAGAGTGTTCATGAATGATATGGAACATATGTCCAAGAAGCAAAATTAGATTAATAACTTTATTACATCCAACCACTATTCATAGCTACAGTAATCTCCATTAGCTAATCTAGTTAATACAAATGAATCCTATTACTCTATAGTTTCCAAGACTCTTAAAAGGGATTCTTCAGCCACCTAGATAGCCACACAGTCTTCCTTATATTGGTTTCAGTTTTCTAGCTATCATCTTAACACATACAGTCTTAATGTTTCATGGCTGACTTTATATTAAACATACCTGCAGTTCTTTGTTTTCTTGCAATCACTTTACTGCCGTCTCCTTCTAATTTACATAGCTATTATAAAGACCTCACTGTGGCCTGTTTCAGATTTGACATGTGTCTGGCTCTTTCTCCCCTTCTCTCTCTGTGTGTGCAAATGCATGCATGTGTGTACATCCACATTTATACACATTAGTATTGTGTGCTTGAGTTTATTCAGTAATTCATATACATCATTAGAAGAATCAAAACAGAATCATCAATACAGCCTAGCAGTATCTGACCCTCTCATACCTATCCTTCTGCTCAAACTATTACTCTTTCTATAATCCATGACCTAGGGTGGTCTCTGACTTTCTCCTTGACTCCATTGTCACCTCTCTGGCAGTTTTATCTTTTTCTCAAGGACCCCTGTTACATCTAAGATCTATTATTTGTACCTGGGTCTCCAGCTTCAACCAGTGAGCCCTGTACAGTGATGGGTCAACACCTCTGCTTCTGACAAGTCCTGTTGGCCAAGACAATGATCTTACCTGGTCCACCATCCCCAACAATAGCAAGTAACAGGATTGAAACTCATCACTGCTTAGGCTCACTGTTACCCAAAGGCTCTGACCTTAGACTTGAAAACTTCTCACTCATGTGAATTACCTAATTCACCATATTGCATCCTAGCTACTTGGGTTCTGGTTGACCTCACTATTCTTACAGTCACTCAAGGAAAATAAAATGCATTTTGTTCATTTGTGAGTCTTGTTCTCTCAGGGAAACCAGTGTTATAAAAGGCAAGATCGGTGACTGTAGGGTGAGTGAATAAGTGAACCAATAAAAGAGAGAATTAGCACACCCAAAAGGCTGCCCTGTGACACCAGATGAGAACTTTCTAAAGCTCTTCTAAGAAGCCTTCAGAAATCCCTTGGCATCTCTGCAGGGAGAAGCAGGGAACTTGGAGCTGGAAAAAAGGTAATGAAAAGCTCCTCCTCCCCCTTACTGCCCTCAACCAGAAATCTTCAACCTCACTCTGCCCACTCACTCTGTCCACCACGTGGCAGAGAACGTGGGGCCGGAGAGAGGATTGCTTTTGAATCACAGAAACCAATGCACGGATATACCCCAAGTCAGCCCATGGCTCTCTTCTCACTCCAGTGCATCTTTGCCTAGTTACTGTATTCAGCACAAGCCACCATGCAGAATTCCTGCTGCAGAGCCACCTAGTGGCCACCGGAGGCCAGTGTTTGTCTGTCCTCTGGAAAGGATTCATAAGCTGACCTAGGTGTCCCTCTCTGGGTGCTTTTCACCAAGGAGTAAAAATTAGAGCAATGAGACTTTGTTTTGTTTTGTTTTTAAGGAAATGGACATAAAACCCAGGTAAAGTATTCATATCATATATTCCACAATGTTATCATGACTTCATGGCCTGAGTGATATGTATTACTTAACAAAGACCAAAATCTCTTAACACAAAATAGTTCTTGGTTTTTACAAATTTGATAAAAGACAAAAAAAATACACAAAATGACTATAATGCTCCAAAAACCTAATATGGTCTCACATTCTTTAACAAAACGACAGTTTTCACCTATACTTGACTCTTTAGTGGTGTAGACTTCAGGATTTGGAAGTGAGAGATTGATGGCGTGCTCCAGAGAGGGGCAGAGAGTCTGCTCAACAGACTGGGAAATACTGGGAAAATCAGTAAAGATTTTTAAATTTAAAATGTATATGTCATTCTTTAAATGTGTAAGATTTAGAACCATCCTAGAAGCCCATAAAAGAGTCAAAAAAAAAAAAAAAAAAAGAAAAGAAAAGAAAGAAAGAAAAGAAAGGAAAATAGGGGAGGGGCAGGAGAGGGGACAAAGAGTAGGGAGAAAAGGGTAGAGAGGGTATGGAAATGGGAGGGAGGAAGGGAGAGAAAGCAGAGGATGAGGAAAAGAGGAAAAGAGAAGAAGGGGTAGGAAAGCAGAGGGAGGGAGTCAGTAGTGGAGGGAAAGGAAGAAGAAAGGGAAAAAAGACAGGAAAAAAGAGGAAGGGAAGAAGAAAGGGAAATAAGGAGGAGATGAAAAGGACAGAGGGTGGGGGGCCAGAGTGGGGAAGGGAAGCTCCACAGGGTGGGGAGGGGAGGAGTGGTGAGGTTTACTTCCAGAGTTTGCTTTGAGGCTGCAGACCTAAGCCGAAGGTGACTATGAAATTCTAGTGAGCATTGGGGGAATTTTACTGCCATAGCTGGTCCAGTGCCTCTTCTGGGAAGTAGGGGAGGGGCTGAGGGAACTCTGGTTCCTCTGTGGAGAGGAATACCTTCCCTTTAGTGAGGTCAGTGATGCCCTAGGAATCTCACAGCCTTGTGTATACACTTACCCTTTTAGGAAGTTTCATTAAGCAAGTTGTGGCCCCTATTTTCTGCCTGGTTGCCAATAGCATTTTAAATTAAATTAAATTAAATTAGAAAGAAAAAATACAAGCCTGTTCTCATTTAAAAGTAGGGGAGCATTTCACCAGTTTTTACTATTAAAAGGTCCCAAATAACATCCAAAATGTCAAAAAAAAATCAGAGGTGTTCCCTGAACTGTGA